ACAAACAACTTATATAATGATACTTAAAACATCATTAGAAAGTATTTTATACAGTACATGGTAATACAAGATATATTTGATGGCCACCACAACCCAACTGAGTGTGTATCTGATAAACACCTGAATCTAAACACCTGTGTGAGCATGCTTGTAAGGTTTCTCCATAAAAATGTTCAATAGTGGATGTGGGGACCCATAAACCCGTCCCCACAGTACACGAAGGTAACACAGGGAAGACCGGAACCACAGACACACAGCGGCCCCCAAGCCCGGAACTCCGGTAGTCCCCCAACAGGGACACCTGCACCCCCCCAGAGAGAGAACCACAGGGAAGCCCTGGGCGATCCCCAACAACCACAATGCAGAAACCCCCAGGAGGCTGCAGCGATGAGTCAACAGGCCCCACCGGCAACCCGCCCCTCCAGAGTGGATCCGGCCATGGACACCAAGCCCCGAGTCTCAAGGTCATACCACCCCCCAACAGAGGCCCGACAGAGCTAGGGCGCCCAGGCCCCCGCAGGCAGCCACCAGGGCCGGCCCGCACACACCCCACCACCCAGCCCCAGCTGCTGAGAGCCGCCAATGCACCGGCGGCAGGGGGGCCCACCACCGGAGGGGAGCACGACCCACCAAATGGGAGGCCAAAACTGGTCCAAGAGAGGGGGGCCACCCAAAACCCAACCTGAGACAAACAGGCACACAGAGACAGCCCGACAGAGCCTTTGTTGGGCTGTCCATGTGCCCCACCTGCCCAACAGTGACCGCAAGCCGGCCACAGGCCGGGGGCCAGAGCAGCAGGGAGCAGCAGCTGAGGAAGGCCGGCCCAGCGCACCAATGCATCCCTAAAGCCGCACACCACAGGCCCGGAGAAGCCCAGGCATGCCACCCATGCACCCCCCCCCCCCCCCCACACACACACGCACACACAGCACCCCGCACCGTGAATGTCACATCAGGCTGACCAGCCAGCACTCCGTTGAAGTGAAGCCATGTCCCCGACCGCTGTCACGCACTACCAACGACCACACACACACAACCACAGCCGACCTCCCGCCAGAACCCAGCAGCCACCCCAGCCAAAGGGCTGGCCATCGGAACCAGGAACCCCGATCAAAGGATCCAAATAATCCAGAGAGAACCGGAGCACCAGCCCCACCCCCACCCCCAATCGCCCCCAAAGGCCCAATACTCACCCACAGCCCAGACCCCAACCAGGCAGCCTACCCCCCTCCCCTGCCCCCGACCCCAAATGTCAGACGGAGAATGAGGGTTTAAGTCTAAAGTCTAAACTACTCTTGAATCCTGTCAGAAAAATTATTTGTCCTAAAAATGAGGCCATTCAAAGGTTTTACAACAAAAATGTTGGATTGTATACCTGGATTATTGAGCATGGACTTTGTTGTTTTCAACCAGTTTGACATGACTGTCAACAAGGAAGAGGGCTGGCAATGGAGGAGGGGGTGTACCTAAGAGACCATGATAGACAGCTTGACAGATTGATAGACAGAGCTTTCTTAGTTTACACATATCCCAGGAGAAATTTGATAAGTCGGCCTGCTTCGAGGCCAACGGGCGGAGTCAGATTAAGATAAACCACAGTTGTTGATTTTTTGCAGGCAGACTGTTATTTCACATCAGCCTTCAGTTCTGCTGGTACTTTTAATCAAATTGGCCAGATTTTTTGGGCATTCTACTGGTCCGTGATTATTAGCTCCCTCCAAGGTCATCCCCAACATGCTGGCGAGTCCCAGAAGCTGCAATTGGCCTGCGATTCTCACAAATCACTTCCATCTTATGGTTTAGCTCGTAAATCAGCTGATTTTGAGTACTTGTAGCATGAACCAAACCTGCAGACAGGCTCGGCAGCATTGCCATGGCTGAAACTGCTGCCACCGTCTTCTTTAATAGCCGATAACATCGGTATCCGCTGGTGCCAAAAAGCAGAAACCTGCTAAGAGTTAAAACATCCACAAGGCAACATACGAGGCCAGAGTCAAGATGATTAAAGCATCATAATTTATCTGCTAAAATGTGGGATTAAATACAATTAAAAGCAGATTAAAAGTCAATAAAAATCAATCAAAGAGGTTTTTGTACGTTCAAGGTGTCCTAAAATCATATTTAAAAGAGTTCCTGTTGTGTCCTCCATCCTCTACATGTCCAATAAGTTAATTAAAGTGGGTCCAAATATATATTTTTTACTTTTAACAAGAGTATGTCCCAAATAAGTTTTTACAAATAACTCATTACTAATGAAGTCAGGGCAACAGGCCTGAAGTCGTTTAGTGACAGAGCAGTCTTTGTTTTTGGGATTGGAACAATAACAGAGTCAAATATAAATTGAGACTCTGCATGAGTTTCACCTGTTGACAGAAACTGGAAGTACAAACCATTAGTCAGTGCTTGACCTTGGGTTAATGTTCTGACAGCTGATATTCTAATACCTGCCAGTTTCAGCACAAAGTGCCACCGATACAACCTCTGATGAGATGTCTGATCACTGTAGAGCCAGCTCATCTTTTACACTGATTCAGGCTCGTATACACCACAGCTTAAAACAAACCAAAACAAAAAAACTCTTGGAAAACGCCTCCACTTGATGTAATTGGACAGTTGGCGCTGAGCTAACCAGAACGGCAGCTAGCTGTAATAGTTTTCTAACAGGGTTGCGTGGCTCTAAGACCAATTACTTCGGACATTGATTGCGCGGCCCGTCTTTGATCAAGTAATTGCTCCGTGAGAGACGAGAGTGCTTCTGCTGCAGAGCAGGTGAGTTGGAATTGATTACAGAGGGCTTCCAATTTCTTCCAAGTGACAGAGAACAGAGAGCAAGAATGTTATCGCTGCTCCTAAATTATTTAGCTGATTTAATATCGTGTCATTTGTACCATCTCTGCATCTGCAAGTCTGAAGCACAATCATTTACTATTGTCTCTTGGTTTAACAGTACCTATGCAGTTTTAAACTTCTTTGTCTGTTTGGCTTCTTTTCTTCTCAGCATGGCTCCATACGTTTAATACTTACCGATTCAGGTGTGACACCATGAATATAGATAATATGTAATTTTATTTCTGTCTACGCTGCACAATGATTCTAAAAAATAAAATAAAAGCTGAACCCTGGGATATATACTGAATTTTCTGCCATACACGTCGCACCGCCCTATAAGTCGTGTCAGTCCAAATATGTCTAATAAAGTGGAAAAATCCATAAATATGTCACTTCGACGTATAAGTCGCATCTATTATGTGTCACCACTGACGCGTCGCGTTTGTTACGCATCACCGCTGACAACCTGGAAAAGTGGGCCGGGTTGTGCCAAAAATCAATTGGCTGTCAAATGGTGGCCGCGGGAGCGTGCACGAGAGGACTTTAACAAGAATTTAACAAGATTAACACTTAAAAACAATTATTTGTTTGCTTGAAATTATAGTAAAGGTGTGTCTCAATTGAACTTTTCTTTAATAAATGCATTTTATTGATCAAATAAGCTGCATTTCAAAAATTGATTTCCAAGATCAATTGAGTTATAAATATGGGGAAACAAATGTACATTAGTCGCTTCAGTGAATAAGTCGCAGGACTTACAAATTTGTACAAAAAGCTGCGACTTACACAGCGAAAAATACGGTAATTGATTATTTTGAGAATTTTGACATTTTTCTTTCGTAAGCTGTTCTATCATTTACTCAAACCCCCTGATGAAATAAAGTCTAATCTACTGTTCATAGAGCTATTGTCTCTCAGCATTAATGTCTCCTGTGCTCCAGCATTAACGTGTGGCATGGAGGCTGCACAGCTGCAGAAAGAAAAGCTTTGCAGAGAGTGGTGAAGGCTGCACAGAAGAATGTTGGAGTCAGCCTGACCACCATCACAGACATCTACACCTCCAGATGCAGGAAGAGGGCTACCTGCATCATGAAGGACTCCACTCACCCAGCACACACACTTTTTGCCCCACTCCCCCCAGGAAGTAGGTTGAGGCGCATTAAGTGTAGAACCACTAGACTGAGGAACAGCTTCTACCCCGAGGCTGTTAGACTCAAGAATATCTAATCAGAATAATCACTGTGAAAAAATCACATCATGTTGCTGCTGATCTGTTTCATGTTGCTGCTGATTTCTTTCAATGTTGATGTGTTCATGTGTGCTCATCTGCTCACACAGACATGTTCATGTTTGTGCTGCTGTTTGACGTAATGTTTTTATGCTACTAGTGCTCATTGTATATTTAGTTGATGGTTTTCTTAATTCATATCTTAGATGCCATTACTGTTTTTCTTTTACATTTTATTGTTGGATGTAACTGGGACCCTGTGTACATAATTTCGCTCCACCACATGTTCCACATGAGGTGCGAATGACAATAAAGAAACTCTGACTCTGATAAGGTCGCCGGATCAAGTCCCAGCTCAGGACCTTGTGGGTGGAGTTTGCATGTTCTGTCCGTACATTTTCGCCAGGTACTCCAGTTTCCTCCCACAGACCAAAAACATGCATGTTAGGCTGATTGGTAACTCTAAATTGTCTCTAGGTGTGAGTGAGAGAGTGAATGATTGTCTCATTTGTGTCTATGTGTCCCTGTGATGGACTGGAGACCTGTCCAGGGTGGCCCCGCCTCTCACACAGTGACTGCTGGACATGGACACCAGTGACCCCCGTGACCCACAAAGGAAGAAGTGGGTAAAATTCATGGATGGATGATTTATGACAGCAACAATTATAAAACACCCAATATACTTTTTATAGGCATGGTAAATCCAATAGATAACCTGGAAAACAATGTTCAAAGACATAAAAAATACAGAGTGTTCGACTTTGTCATGGATTGGATGGTAAGGTAGAAACACGTGCAACAAGATGCAGCTCTCAACACTTTTGGGAAAACATCACAAGTAAACACATGAAATCAGACACGAGTCGCCATATATGTCCTTTCTATCTATGACGTTTAAAATTAAAATGTTAGATTCAGTCTGAGCTCAAGCAGCATTTCTTACCGTCCTGCACATCTTGTCTTCTAATTCCTGGTTGATCCTCTGGAGAGCTGCGTAGCCACTTTGGATCCTTAAGAATAAAAACAAACAAACAAGAGTGAAGAAACGTGACAAAACAAACTCGTAAGCATATTAAACCTCACAGAGATGGTAATCATGGCAAACTCATTCTGAGAATTTAAACATGTTCAGAAGGCACTTGCAGGAAATTAAAATGATATTATGACTTCACCACGGTCACCATGGTTACACATTGAACTACAAGATGTAATTATGGTCACTGGTATTTTTAGTGAAATAACTTTATAGTGAGAGTTGCTTTTAGCCTTTGGATCTGTAACTGTGAATAAACAGGACCATAACTCTTTTTGTGTACTTGTTTGTTGTGTTTTATGACTGCACCTTTTAACTTTTAGCTCATATTTAAATGCCATCTCCAACACCTAAGTGAGTATTTATAAAGCAGCTTTTACGGCTCCATTAGCTGAATAAATATGGAGCATGCGGGATGTGGAGGCCATAAACAATACGACAAAACATGAAATACTGTTCTGAAAGAGATGTGAGCCAATAAGGAAGGAGTAAAATGAAAATAACTGAGCAACACTTGACAGAAGAGGCTGACACAGCAAATAGAGGATAAATAAAACGCATTAAACCTTCCATCACTGAGTGCTGTTAGTCATTTCAGATGTTTCAGCTTCTCCTGTCCTTATCTGTCAATTAGGAGGTACTTCTTCAGCAGAATGCCACAAATTAAACTCAACTCACGGGAAAGTAACACTTCTTGTGGGGTTGAAAGGCAATGTTCTGCCAGACTTGACACAACAGAATCCCTGGATCTTGTACCTACAAGTATTTATAGTTTACAAATAAAAATAAATAAAAAGTTAATCCTATTTATATGTGTAATGTAATGACATTCTGGTTTCAAATGATTCTGGTCACTTTGTAGTATTTGTGCTCCTGGACCTTACTGCTGCTTTTGATACTGTTGACCACAGTATCCTTATATCACGGCTGGAACAGTGGTTGAGATTACAGGTGCAGCATTAGAATGGTTCCGCTCATACCTGAGTGACAGGAGTTTCTGTGTCAAGGTTGGTAATAATGTATTTGCTTCAATTCCTCTTTCCTGCAAGGTCCCACAGGGCTAAATTCTTGGACCCCTTCTGTTCTCACTCTATTTGCTCCCACTGGGGTCCATCCTGAGAAAACAAGATCTTTCATTCCACTGTTATGCTGATGACTGTCAGATTTACTTGCCTTTGAAACCAGCTAGGGCTGGCTCCGTTCACACTCTCCTAAATTGTCTGGATGACATTAAGGCATGGATGGCTTCAAATTTCTCAAGTTTTGATGATGAGAAGACTGAAGCCATTGTGATTAGCTCTAGCTCAACCGCCACCTCTGATCCTGTCAACCTGAACTCCCTTCAGCCTTATCTTAAGCAGTCTGGTAAAAATCTAAGTCTGGTTTTAGACACTGACTTCAAGTTTGACAAACAAATCAACTCTTTTCTGCAAAAAAGCTTCTTCCAGTTAAGGCAGATAGCTAAGCTCAAGTCAGTGTTGTCCAGATCCGACCTCGAGAAACTAGTCTATGCCTTTATCACGACCCTATTGGACTATTACAATGCACTCTATGCTGGGGTCAGCCAGGCCTCCATCTCACGTCTCCAGCTCGTCCAGAATGCTGCTGCTCGGCTCTTAGCTGGAACTCATAGGTTTGAGCAGTTCTATCCTCCCTTCACTGGTTCCCTGTGTGTACTAGAATAAATAGATTTTAAAAATTTCCTGTTGACCTTCAAATGCCTAAATGGCCTTGCAATCCTTTACCTCTCTGAGCTCCTGGAGTCATATGTTCCCTCTTGAGCCCTGAGATCATCTGACCAGCTGCTTTTGGCTGTTCCATAAACAAGACTGAAGCTCAGAGGAGATCGGGCTTTTTCAGTTATGGGTCCCAAACTCTGGAACAACCTGCCCCCCAATTATGCAGGCCACCTCCCTTCCTGTGTTCAAATCTCTGCTAAAAACTCATCTGTTTTATATAGCATTTCACACAGTGTGAGTTGATTTAGTAATATAACCCTAACCCTAATAAACAGGACTGGACAGCTAACACCAACACCCTCTACAAGAAAGGACAGAGTCGCCTTTTTCTTCTGAGGAGACTCAGGTCCTTTAACATCTGCAGGACCATGCTGCAGATGTTTTACCACTCGGTGGTCTCCAGCATCTTCTTCCACGCTGTGGTGTGCTGGGGCAGCAGGGTGAGGAAAGCTGATGTCAACAGACTCAAAAAAACTCACCAAGAGAGCTGGTTCAGTTCTGGGAGTGGACCTGCAGTCTCTGACAGAGGTGTCTGAGCAGAGGATGAGGAGGAAACTGCTCCAGATCCTGAACAACACGTCACCCCCCCTGCATGGCACCCTGGAGTCTTACTGCAGCACCTTCAATCGTACACTGAGACACCGAGGTGCTCCACAGAACAACACAGGAAGTCCTTCCTCCCAGTGGCTATCAAACTTTTAAACTCCTCCCCCTTTCTACACATAGGACAATAAAATTAATCCTGCACCACAATAAACACTTTAATCTTTCTGTTTGCGCCTGTTTTAGAATTTAATGTTGGTATTTTATATATTCTTTGTTATTTTTAATATTAACTTGTGTGATTCTTGTGTATGTTCCTTTGTACAGAAACTCTGGCACAACAATTTCCTGCAGGATCAATAAAGTTTTATCTTATCTTATCTTATCTTATCTTATCTTAAAGAGATATGCTGGATGAGATATCCTACACTACTCTTTCAACACAATATGTAATAAAATTAAATTAAGACAAAGTCTTTAAAAACTACAGAACAGTTTTGCCCTTTAACTTGATTAACGGTGACAATAGTTATGATCTCATGCAAGACGTGACGCTCAGAGTCCGTGTTGTGAATGACATCCAGCTACTACCACATCAGCTCTTCGCTCACCTGCGCAGCTTCTCTGTGAATTTCTCCAATTCCTCCTGGGCACGCCGCAGCTCCGTCTCCAGGTACTGCCGAGTGGAGTCGAACTCCGTTTCCACCATCTCTAGTTTGTGGGTTGTGTACGACAGGCGCTTGCGAAGGTCATCTTTGTGGTCATGGAAGGCGCTGATCAGACAGCAGGGAGAGTTTGGAGAGCAGGAGTTACGTGAACATTCATTGAGTCCGGCAGAGAGAAAGACAAAATTGGACAAACAGTAAAGTGTCTGTGTTTATGTGAGAAGGTGGTTAATGTGGACGATGGGCAGCTGGATACAGTTCAGTATGGAGACAGACAGGGCAAGGAGGAAGCTGAGGAGGAGGAGATGGATGGAGGAGGAATGCTAATCTCCCATTCACATGGAAGGAGCAGAGCTGGGAGAAGATCTCCCACTGGTATAATGGTGAATTTCATTACACAAGTCTCCTATCGAATTTCTGAAACAGCACAAATGGATTTCGGCCTCAGAGCACAACCTTTGGTAATTTATAGAAGAAGGTCTGGAAAATATAAGATGGTACACATGTTTTTGGGTGTTTGTAATCTTTTAAAAAAGACAGAAAGCAAAGAAAGAGCCTGAGACAGAACGAGACGATGGAGAAGTCCCATCATTTTAACATCAGCTGCAGCATATCAGACATGAAGTGTACTTTTGCACATTTGATGCAGGTTTGGGGCGTGAAAACACACTGACAAGATGACTGAGGGAACCAACGTGGTAATGAAAAGCTAGGGATTTGAAGCAGAGGTGAGTGCTGGAGGAGATTTGGCTTTTAGCTGGATTGATGGATGCTCTGCTCTCAGACTGTCTCCATGCAACAGGCACAGTGAGTGCACCATCCCTCAGCCAGCATCACCCATCAGCAGGTGTCTGCAGAGTGTACAGCTGAATGTTGTAGAGGTTCAAATAATTCAGGTGTTTTTAATACTTGGACCATCTCTGGCAAGAGTTACAAGGAAAGCCCCTTCATGTTTGGCCTGAAGACCTTTACAACCTCAGTCTTGTAAATGACATACCACCGAGAGGGGCTTCACATTTCTAAGTATGATCTTATTGGTTGTACTTTATGAGCAACAACAAGAAGCCTAAACATATTTGACAACTTGGGTCTAACATTCTGAGTCTTACAGGTCACCTTCTGTTGCACTACTTCAACAAATCTTTACAATCGCTCCATGTCACAGTTCGTGTTTGTACGTGATGTTTTTGGGAAGTCATTTGAAGTTACTTGGCTTGGTTTTGCAGCACGGTGGTGCAGTTGGTAGAGCTGCTGCCTCTCAGCGAGCAGGTTGCACTGGTTCAAATCCTGGCCTGGGGGCCTTTTTGGGTGGAGTTTGGATGTGCTCTCTGTGCATGTGTGGATTTTTACTCCGGTTTCCTCCCACAGACCAAAAACATGCATGTTAGACTGATTGATAACTCTAAATTGTCCCCAAGTGAGAGTGAGAGAGTGAATGGTTGTTTGTCTCATTAGTCTCGATGTGGCTCGTCCAGGGTGTCCCCCGTCTCTTGCACAGTGATGGATGGACATGGGCACCAGAGACCGCTGTGACCCGAATAAGGAAGAAGCAGGTAAAAGATAATGGATGGCTGGATGGCTTGGTTTCCTATGGACACCAGTCATCAGTGGTTTCCTATGGATTAACATGAGTCTGAGTTTTTAATCCATCCATTATCTTTACCATCCAATCCATGACAAAGTCGAACACTCTTTGTATTTTTTATGTCTTTGACCATGACCAGGACCATTTGACCATTTACCATGCCTATAAAAAGTATATTGGGTGTTTTATAATTGTTGTTGTCATAAATCATCCATCCATGAATTTTACCCACTTCTTCCTTTTGGGGTCAAGGGGGTCACCGGTGCCCATATCCAGCCATCACTGTGTGAGAAGCGGGGGACACTCTGGATTGGACACATAGAGACAAACGAGACAAACAACCATTCACTCTCTCACCTAGGGACAATTTAGAGTTTCCAATCAGTCTAACATGCATGTTTTTGGTCTGTGGGAGGAAACTGGAGCACCCGGAGAAAACCCATGCATGCACAGAGAGAACATGCAAACTCCACCTAGAAAGGTCCCAGGCCAGGATTTGAACCAGCGACCTTCTCGCTGAGAGGCAACAGCTCTACCAACTGATCCACCGTGCTGCTAATTATTTATTCATGCTCTTTTATTTTTCACTTTCATAGTTCTTATCCTCCATATTTTTTCAGCTCTCTCACACACCACCTGTTTTCTGTTATGAGCGCTCCTGTGACCATCTGTGTTTGCGAGCTCTTCCGTTCTTTTTTTTCTCCCTAAGCTCTCATCTCTGAGCTGCAACTGTTACAGTTGTGACTAGTTAGCAAAAGAATCATTAGGAAGTGAGTGAAATAATGTGAACAGTGTGGAATATAGTTTTGTAAGCTGTTGTTTTCAAGGATTCTCCATGTAAAATGGCTTCATGGCTCGCTGGGTACTGAGTTGCAAACACTCAGAATTCAGTGAGACTGCAACAGAAAATTTTACTAGGTGTTTTTTTTTTCTTTGCAGTTTTTCCAGAATTTTGGGACAACTCCAACTCCAACAGCCCACTGAGATACTTATTACCTTCACTAGAGCAACATGTCACATTATGAATTTATTCATCATTATTGTGAAATCTTCTGAAAGTACTTATTTTGGAATTATCATGAGTTTTAGTGTTTTGATTGTTTCTGCACATTCTTGTTTTTTATTCGTTGTACATTTGTTGCCTCTACATGTCCTCAACATTCCCCTTTCCCAGCTCCTTGCATACCACCTGCATTCTGTTAATAATCACATACTTTATATTTATTGTCAGCTCCTCCTCTTATTCCTGTTGTGTCAGAGCTGCTGTTTCCAGTTTCAGAGCACTTTCTTACAACTTTTATTTGTTTTATTTTGCAGACAGCTCGTTATATTGTTGACCTAAATGCAGATGTCAGCTGATAAATGAAGATGAATGCTGGAAATGAATAGATGTAATGTGCTTTGAGTTGCCTCCTGACTTCTCATTAATAAGTTTTCCGTTAATTGAAATGAAATAAAATAATAAATTATGAGGATGATGCTCAGAGGTCACTCTCCAGACTACTCATCTTACCTTCTTTTTGGATGCTTGCATCCATTTCTCTGGGTTTTCAGGGATGTTTTGCCAATATATATCTTTTTCATATTTTTCTCGCTGCCTCGACTCACATGTGTGTACAGCTGTTACTTCTGGTCGACTGAACGCTGAACCAAAGTTTGAGCTCTAATCACAACCCAAAAGCCAAAGCTTTAAATCTTGCCCAGGGAGCCAGATAGATGTTGGCTATATGCGATGACCCTGGCAAGAGAGCAGAGAAAAACAGCTTTGAAGTTCCACAGATTTAGCGGCGCGTTTCGTTATGTTGACTCCAGGGAGACGTAGATGTTGTCTGTGTTGAGAAAACGAGAGTGTTCAATACGAGATGCACAGAGCCCGGGGATCAATTAGATCCATTCGCCAAACAAACTTTACAAAAATGCAGTGGAGCAAATAATTGCACCTCTATCCAAACTTTACACTTTTAACTAAATAAACTGCAACAAAATCTTTTTAATAAAAAAACATTTTATTATTCAAATGATAAAAAAATATGTAGATACAAAAAACTATAGTAGAAAAAAGTAAATGTAACGATTAAGTTTTGTGTTTTTAATTCATCATTGGAGTTTTTCTAGCTGGAAGCAACCAACTTGAGCAAACTGCAGGAGCTTGTGTGCAAAATGATCAATCAGCTGACCACAGAGATCGTTTCTCGATAAATCAGTGTTTACGATGATTAATGCACGTGGGTTTTCATTGTCTCTGTGGGAGCAGGGCTTGAACTTGCACTGCTCACATTGTAAAACATATAATTACCCATCATCTGCATAAAGAAAAACGAGACGTCAAATCAAACCACTGTGGTGGTGTGCACATCTTTATGCTCTCTTCATAAAAGTCACACTAGTTGAGCCCAAAGCACAAAATGACAATTCACACAAAACGGGAAGAAAAAGATTACTGTTGGTGAAAAAGAGTGCCGCCAGCTGCTCTTTCCATCAGCAGCTGTCGAAGTTAGACTGTGAGACGTCATAACCATGAAAACCCTACATGACATGTCCTGTTAGAAAGAAAGGATTAAAGAATGAAATGAGATTATTTGAAGCTAAGCAGCTAAATTGTAGTATGTTAAAATAAAAGCCCAGTTGAATTAGTTGTAGCACTTTATTTTTTTGTCCTTGTTAATTTTAGCTTCAGTCTTTAGCCCGTTGGCACACACACACATTGAAGAACCTTTCAGAGCTCTTTGTATTTTACGCTTGTGCATATTTTACACTGTTCCAAATGGTAAAAACTAAACATCCACCTTTATATATGCAACAAATGAGACAACAGTTTATAATTTTTAATAATTTTGGTCCCTTTTATTTACAAAGAAGTTCTGAAATGAAAGGTCAGGCAACAACCAGACCAGAGATTAATGTTTTATAATTAAGAAAATTAGCAAGATTTAACAAGCCAGATAACACTGATAGTAAATGTTAGCAGTGGTTACCAAATTATTCTATAATTAATCTAACAAAGTTCAGTCAGGTCATCTGTACGGTTCCTTTTTTTGTTTGTTGTTGAGACATTTCACTCTTCATCCAAAGGACTTCATCAGTCCAAGCCACAACAAACTGTGTCCCACATGCAGCACATCTGCATAGTGGACCAATCAGTTTGCTGGTGATAAGATGGTTTGTAGGGCCTGCCCTCTCCCTCATCGTCTCCTCTGAGGCAGCCATAGCCAAAGTGGTTCAAAACATCAAAGTTCTTGCTCAATAATCCAGGTAAAAAAATCCAACAAAGATCATTCAGGTCATCTGGACGATTTCTTTTTTTGTTGTTGAGAAGTTTCATCCTTCGTCCAAAATACTTCATTAGTCCAGATTCAGCTTGTTGTGGCTCCTCAAACTAAAAGCTTCTAAAGCTACTAAAAGTAGCTAAAAAAGCAGAAAGTATCTGAAATTACAAGAAGGAAGTGGAGAGAGCACATTTTTGCTGAATTAGGATGAAAAAAGTTTAAATGAGTGCAAAAACTGCAGAATTAGCTGAAAAAGC